ATTTTAATATATTTTTATTTTAATTTTTACAAAAATTATGTTAAAAACAATTGTTAAGTAAATTTTTTAATATTTTATAATATTTAGTCATATTTTTAAGGCATTTTTCTTGATTTTAGGACATTTTTCTTGTTTTTTAGGACATTTAAATCTACACTCAATTGATAACCAAAAAATTCAAATTATTTAACATAATATAGTGTGTCAGTGTAACTGACATAGTAAATGGTACTAACTTAAGTAATAATTCTTGAAATGTATATTCAGCATGTTTAATTTTAATAAATAGGTATACTGTACCTATTATAATTAAAATACTAAAATATTAATTATTTTACTGAACATTATTTTGTACGAATTGAATGTATACAATTATGTGTAAGTACACGTACTTTAATGTGGTTTAGATTATTTCACACTTCAACGCAAACGTAGGTAGATACTTACTCATCTGTTCAGCCATTTATTTCAACTATTTAACGAATCCTATATTATAATAAAGGAATAGTCATGGTCAATGAACAGTATAATGTCAAAGGAAAATTAAACGTTTTCTATTTCACTAGGTATTTAAAATAATAAAATATTATAGATGTGAAACTACAGTAGATAATAGATAAACGATATACCTACGTGTTTTGTATACTCATGGTGTACAGTTTGGTACTAATAAGCATACTTCATCGTTTAATTATAACAGTATAGACATGCCGTTAATTGACGTGTAGACCTAGATTGGATCGACACACTATCAAAGAAATCTCACTAATAAGTTGTATAAAATGTATATGAAAATAATTTATAAGTGTGTTAAAATAATAAACCTACTCAATAAGTACATTAACTAATATTAAGTAATATTATGTTAAATTGCATTAAGGCGGTTGAAAATTTATAGGTTACCTCATTATTCATCAGACTATCTCTGCTTATAATCTTTAAAACTCCTTTTGACGCTATTTTAAGGTAGAATATTGATTTAAACTATAGATATTACATTGCTTCTTCCTACAATTTTCCTAGAGCTGATTAGTGATTAAACGTCCCGATCAATAACAGCAAAGAAACAAAAATACTGACAATATTTACTAAGCGAAATTCCACTTGTTTAAAAATCTTGAAAATTTAATACAAGATTCCTTAGTAATTCAAACTGGAAACAAAGAATTAAAATAATTAGAGAAACAATTTATCTTTTTTAGACGTTTTAAATTCAAATTTAGACGAAATTAGATATTTAAACAAAAAATAACGATTCTAGTAATTTTAGCATAATAAAATTAAATAATAATATTTTTCGTGGGGATTTGAAACTTTTACACATACTATTATACTGTATATTTACAGTGATATTTTCAAAACGTTTAAATTAATTTTATGCAATGACCTATTAATTATATCTAAAACCTATTCCCATGCACCGTTTTACGGTAAGTCGGTATTGACTCAAAAGTTTATACTTTATAATAATAATAAATTATATACGTATATAATATATGCTAATAAATTATTATTATAATTAAATATTAATGATATTAATTCAACCTATTACTAATGTCTATTTGTAAAATATATTACTTTGGTAACTGTATAAATATATTATACAATTTATAGGTACTTATTACTTAGTAATTAGACTGACAGGTATTCTTCACTCAACGTCGTTTTTCGTATGCTATGATTTATCATTGAGTACAAATTTAACACATAAATTAGTCACTAAGGCACTTAATGACGAAGTAAACTTCTCACCTACTGTTTTGTCAAGTGGTTATCTAATTTCCACCTTTTATTATTTTTAGTGATAAACAAATAATGAAAATAACAAATAAAATCTAAAATCACTATAGAAAGTTTTTTAAATAAATCTAATCTCTGTACAAACTATAAGACATAAAATATAATTATTTTATTTGTCTCATTTTTATTTTTTTTTTTTTGTGATTTTTTCATATAATTTTTCCTGGAATTCGGTACAATCAAACTATTAGGACAGTTTTAAAATTAAATTAAAAATTACGAATGAAGAAAATATAGTTACACAGTTATTTACAAGTTATGTTAGAGTCATTTCAAAAACTTGAGTACCAAATAGTTTCCTCAAATCTTATCTAAAAATAGTATATTAAATAGTAATTATACAACATATTTACCCAATTACATATATTAAACGTACTTATTAGAAATGAAACTCAAAACCAATATTATTCTATTGGGCATTTTGTAAAGAAAATATTTGAATGTTAATGATGAAGTTTTTGATTGATAATAAGACGCAATCAAGCACGAAAAATTGTACCAAGTTTACCATATTGATCATTGGTGGTATTATATTATCAATTTATTTTAGAAGTATTTTTAAACTACTGCTAAAATTATTTACAAGTATATAATTTATTTACTGTACAAATTGTGTAAGAGATTATTTATTGAATGTTGTAAAAAAACCCTCAGTAAATAAAATGTCGGAAATAAAAATATAAAACTGTGTGATAATTACTAGCATTTATGTTTTATACCAGTGGCGTAAATCGGGTTCAATTTCTGGTGGTGCAGAGGCATATTCTCAACCTATAATTTCCAACACACCAATAATCTAAGTTCCTAAGCAAAATCCTTCCCAGTAAACTATATATTTTTCCATATATTTCTTTAAATAATAAATACATTTTGAATTATTTTAGCAGAAAAACCTTTATAATTATAATATTAATAAAAAAAAATAATCAACAATTTCTTTTTATTTATTTTAAGTTGAGACGACGTTCCTGTTTATATATTATATATTTCAATGATTTTCTGATGGTGCAAAAGCATACCTTTGAACCACCACATTTAAGATGTGGTGGTGCAAGTGCTGCATTTGCACCACCCAGTTTAAGCCACTGTTTTATACGTACATAATATAGGTAAAATGAACCGATTAGGTATCAACGTATCACAATTCACTTTTTCTTCTTATGAGAAGACAGGTGAAAAACTTAAAAATCCGATGATCCGATATGAATATATATATTATGTCTTATCCGGTATCAGTGATGTGTAACCTACTAGTAACCCTACTACCCAATAAACCAAGAAATATAACTGGTTATTAATTATTGGTTCTTTTACTTTGTATAATAAAAGTTCAAGTAAACGTTCCTATAGACGTTTTTTAAATTTAAAAATTAAGACTGCAGTTTCGATTGGCATGTATTGTTTCTGTCATATACATACCTATCACCATTAGTGTTGCTTAATATCAATAATTTTAATCAAAAATATAAATATAAATATGTAAATTATAAAACATCAATTTATAAAAACTGTGTCCAACAATTACATGAAAAAATAACTTAATTACCTGCTAAAATACAGAGCGTATTTTTTGTTGTTGTATGTGGGAATTGTTAATTAATATTGATCAATAATATAATATTCTTAAAAAACATAAAAACGTGTTTTTTCATTATTTTATCAACATTTTTAAATCTTTAATCTCACAGTTGTAACAATTACAAAATGAACTTAATTTTTTTAATTGGTGACAACTATACTTTTTATAAAACTTTATTTCTGAAAATGTTAATGTTTAAATCATCAATTTTGTTTCGGTAGCTTATTAACTACAGTCATCTATAAAGTTTAGTTAGTAAATTTATTAATAGTTTTAATTGAAATAATTGGAATACATTTTATTTACTGTAGGATTAAATAATATTTTTAACTATCGTTTGATGCAATTTCATATTTGTTTATAGGTACATATAGGTAATTGATAATCTAGTGACACTTACACACATTGCCTCATTGTGCAATTAAAATTTTTAATCTATCTATACTAGGTCAATCCAAGTTGTAAGCAGTGTACCTAAGCCGTTATTCTTCGGGAACCGTCTTCCAAGCGTTCAGTCTAGATATTTCGTATTTCGTGCTAGTGAAGATTTATATTCGATAAATGCGTCCGAACAATAATGAAAGCGCTATCTATCCACTTCTAATCTCTATAATTTTAAACTTCACAACGCGTTTGCGAAAACTGACCGACCGTGAATATCGCTCAATTTAGTCGTTAAATAGCGTTGCTAAACGCAAATTTCATTTTATTGTATAAAAATCAATGTCATTAAATATTTAAAAAGCATAGTAAAAAAAAAAACAGACAAAAAATTAGCTTTGCTTTTAAAAACTAAAAATCAATGTAACTAGTAAATAGTAAACACACAAAAAAGCATGGGTATACTAAAATAGGGTTAAAGACATTAAAGTTACATGATTGTTATAATCAATCATTATAATCAGAGCTGAAAAGCTGTAGCAAATGCATATTTTTTTTTTTTTTTTTTGGTTCATCCTAGAACATCGAAATTACCTAAGATACAAATATATTTCACACTTCTCTGATGTCATAGTTACACGAAATTTTATTTTTTTTATTATTATTTTTGGCATATTTACGGTTTTTATTGCTATTTTACTAATCTAGTGTTTTTAGTATATTTTTAAGTATATTTTCACATAATATATGAAATATTCGCATTTTGTTGAAAACAATGACTAATTTGGTTATATTTTTATAAATATTTGAATTTTTGGAAAATTAAACAGTAAATTTGTTAAAAAATATTCAATATTTAAAGCTTCAGAATAGCCTTCAATTCAAAATATCACAGTTATTATATCTGTGTAAAATATCTACCATGGTAATCACAATTTCGATTCGTGATAACAAATATTTTATCTTCCGGTTATTGATTATTTCATATTTGTAAGCAAAGCATTTAAAACAAGTAAACTATTACTGTATAGTGAATCTACTTAATTTACTATTGTTATGCCAAGTAAATTCTTGTCTATGTTACTGAACACTTAAGTATTAATTTAATAACTTACAGTCTACTCGGTCAAGTGCATAGTCATTGCCTAATGCTCGTGCTCCATAATGCAAACTGTTGAGAATATTTAAATTTTGAGATATTTTGAAGACTATTATAGTGTTAAAGTGTTTAAAAGTTAGCCTGTAATTTTAAGAATTGTGAAAAGTTCAATAAATATTGGTCACATAGGATGGCATCTGCTTACAGTTCTGAAACAATTGACGATATCACGGATATTACTGAAAGCTTGAAACAGCTGTCTGTTGCAAGAGCCCAAATTAATTCATTGAGGTATGTATACTATGCTTTTTACAATAAAACTTACAATAATTGTTGTTATTTTCTCAATCAGGAAACAAAATGAGTCTTTAAAAAAACAGCTGAATGCAAAGGATTTGATTGCTTCAAACGAACCAAGCACGTCCAGTAGCTCTGAAAAAATAGAACTAACCATTATAGGAACAATAAAAACTAAGTTTAAAGAACGTAGGGGTGTACCCCGACAACCTGGTCTCTGTCCACTTGCCCAAGCTTGTCTGACAATATCAAACTCTGTATTCACTAATCCTAACCATGCTCTTGAAGGCCTCTCGGATTTCTCACATATGTGGTAATTTAAATAAAGCTATTGTTATTAGCCCAGATCAAATGCTAAATATTTAATTAATATTTTAGGATTTTGTTTCATTTTCATAAAAATGAAACTACTCATGTTCATGCAAAAGTATCACCACCCAGATTAAATGGATTGCGAACAGGTGTACTTGGCACTCGATCTCCACACCGACCCTCACCAATTGGCTTGTCTCTAGTGCAAATTGATAAAGTTGAAGGTAACTTTAAAAATATGTTTGTAAATAACTTTTTTTTTAGTTTAATAAGCTAGTAATATACTTCACCTATTATTATAAGAAGAGGGAATACACTTTAGTCGTGAGCGTGGAAAATTCTTCAGCAACTGCATCTTCTAGAATTTAATTATTAAAATAATAGTGTTTCTTAACCATTTTAGTTTAATCTCAAAAACTAAAATATTATAAAAGTTAATAGTATTTTTAAATTTTAGGAAATTCTGTGTATTTTTCTGGTGTGGACATGATAGATGGTACTCCAGTGCTTGATATCAAGCCATATATTCCTCATTATGATGCACCAGTTTCTTTAAGATCTGACCAACATGTTTCATTATTTGATAATGGATCACATCAAATACTATTGGATCCATTGACAGCTGACCGAGAAGCACCCGATGGAGAGGAAACTGATACATACGATATGCCTCTTTCTCCACTTCATACAAGGGTATGATATTTTATTTGTAAAACAAAGAATATTAAAAAATATTATGCACTCCAAAATATGTGAATTAATGAAAAGAATAATCAAATATTTTTAATTAATAGTAATCAAAAAGTCGAGAGTTTTACTTGAAAATTTCTATCAGTTATAGAATAGATATAGATAGTTATAGATAATAGAATTAGTCACTTGATCTAGTAGACGTATCATTGATTTCTAGTTCATTTTGTATACTTGTTTTTTAAATTATATTATTAAAAATAAAACACTTGTGTTATTTCATCCGTCACTTTTACCAGTATTTTATTTTAAGTAAAATTATATTTTTCTTGAATGAATAACTTAATTCAAAAACACATTCTTCGCCAATTTTAAATTAAAATGTCGTTCAAAATTAATTTTTATTTTCTTTATTACTTGAAATTTAATATTTATTTATTTATTTATTTATTTATTTATTTTTTTTTTGATAAAATTAATGTCTTGAATTAATTTATAGTACAATATTATAGTATTGAATTTAGAACTAATTACTGTGTACTCTATTATTCATAAACTTAATTTATTTTATAAAATAAATAGGTTCGAGTACCTCTATGGATTACTGAACCACTGATGCAACAACTAACAGTGGAGTTCTCATCGAGAGCAAGAGAATTTTTAGATACATTGGATACTAATGATATTGAAACTACTATAGTAAGCATATTGAAAGAAGACCCTCGATCAGTATATGTCCGTGAACGTTATAGTAATCAGTTTTATACATTCTTAATCGGAGGCTATCATGTGAGTTGCAAGTTTGATGATAATAAACACACGATTAGTGTCTACAGAATATCATTCGTTGAAAATATGGAGAATGTACCTGATCAAGAAGGTGCCCAATGTTTGTCTGTAGAATAATACTATTAATAATTAATAATAATTTTAACTTAAATATTTTTTGTTTTACAACCATGTTCCTTTTTTATATCTATCCCAACTTTGAAATACTTTTGACACTTTAAAATATTTATTGTTAGTGTGATATTATGATAAGAAAATTAATGTTATTGTTTTTTTTTTATATATAATTAAAACGATAATTTAAGTAGTTTAATGAAATCCTATGACTGTTATCATTGTTAGTTTTAATGTATATTATAAATGTTTTGTTTTATTATAACTATTTTTTTTATTATTATTGTTCATAAATAATAAATTTATAATTATAATATAGTTGTAATAAAGTTAATAATATACTGTAATTATTAATTTAAAAGAAAGTAGATTTATGTTTTTACATGTGACGTTATACATTAGTAATGTGTACACAAATAATATTGGTGCACTACACTATTAAACGCCATACTCGATCTTACTTTATAATAATTGAAATTAATAAACCAATTAAAATATTAAATGAATATGAACATAAGTATTCGATAATAGCAGTTTTATTATTATTATGATTATTCAGTTATATTCAAATTTTCTTATTAATAGTATTTTGTAGTTTATTACAATATTATAAAATTTTGATCAAGTTATACATTTTTATATTACATATTTACATTTATTATTAACTATCATAATTCTTTCAAAATATACTATTGTTTTAAAATAATGTTTTGTTATTTTAAAAATGTAAGTAATTTAAGTTAATACATGTATTCTATTGAAAGCTAGTTTTCATCAGGCACTGATCAGATAACACCAAACCACTGTTACAGCAAAGTTTACTATATGCCTGTTATGTTGTCAAATCAAATTTCTGAGTATAACTCAACTACTGAGTGTGTTTGTATTTTGAATAAGGGTATAATTATAGTTAATAAATTACAAGACTTTAAATGTAATTTCATTATGTAATTAATTCCAACAAAAATTATACAAAAATATTTTAAATCTACTACCAAAATACAAAATGTATTTTGATAACACACAACTTAATTATAAAATAATTGTTTATTATTCTTTTTTCTTTTGAAAGAATGTAATTTTTGATTTAATTTATCAACTAATAATACTCATAAATTATAATTTAATAATTATGTTCAAGTACAAGAGTTATTTCAAAAATTCCTAAAATTTTATATTTGTAATAATATTGTTACAATTTCAGAAATTAGATATTAATCTTTGTTTTTGTAAAATATAAAACGTTAAAATAAAAAAATAAAAAAAATTTAAAGCAAATTGCATAAATTCAATAGAAATGAGAAATCAAATAGAATGTTTTTTTTTTTTATTTCCATAATTAAAATCTAATTACTGGACCTCATTTAGATCACTCACGTAAATAAAGTTACATATTTGTGCAACTGTGCGTTGATATTTTTATACTTCAACCTCATCTATAAGATTTTAAGAATAGGATATAGTATAAATGTAAAATCACTAAATAAATTAAATAATAAACATTTTATATATTTCATGGTATAACTATAAAATTATAAATGTAAAAACATTTGTAAAATAAAAAATAATGAAGAGAAATTTAATTTTAAATTATTTTATAATTTTAATTTTTCTTAATGGATATCAATTGAAAACTAGCTACTAAACTTTTATTATCAAGGAAATAGGTATACTATTTAACTATTTAGTCTACCTACTTATTTGAATATTGTTATTGAATAATAAATACCTACCGAAATGCCTTCTACAGTTTTAGGAATGCATTACACAATATGAATATTCTGTGATTGTATGACAGTGTCAATTTAATATTAAATAATTATAATATTACACCATCAGTTCATAATTTAAGCATAGTATTTTTCAATATTGTACACTTCGCAACTCCCATAATTTGATTAGGTACTAAGTAAAAAAACTGTGACACACATATTGCTGACAACCAGCAGTTACACAGACATCGAGCATTGTCTAAGTATACATTATGGTCTAAGATTAATAAATAATCCAATATCATAATACATAAAATATGAAAGATATTAATTATATCTTAGTATGTAATAAATTTACCACCATAAAATAAAAACAATTTGATTAACCACTATACATAAATAAACAATTTTAGAATCAAATGTAAAAGATAATAATTATAATTAGTTAAACATCCATTTACATCCATTAGAATAACTAATTATAATCCTCGTTATTTTATTAAGTAATAATAATACCCAAAAAATATTTTAAAACAAAATATTACACAAGACAAATGAACACACCAAATTTTAACAGTTTAAAGATGAAAAAAATAGAATCTCAATAATAATAAAAAAAAAAAGTTCCTGAACACACAACAGTATAAGCTACCACGTTATATTTTGTGTTATCTTTGTAGGAAAACAAAAAACCACAATGGGCTTAGTTGTGTATGAGCAAATAATTGACTATAAAATGCCAGAAATTTTAAAATAATTGTTTTCAATTTGATGATTTTCCTAGCATAATTAAAAAATATTGATATATTACAGTTAGTGATATTTTTTAAAAGTGGGGCATACTTAAATATAAAATTAATAAGAGTTGATATTGGACAGAGAAAAGCTAAAAATTCAAGGAAAAGAAGTGGCAATACTGTATTGTCTATTGTAATCTAATTAGTTTTAAGTTAAATATATGTTTAAGAATAAACATATACATAATATATATAATAAAATAAGAGCTACTAAACCGCATTGAGGACCAACTAATATCATTAATACTAGAAATACCCCTAAAACAATTCCCATAAAGACATACACACAACAACCATGGTAAATTCTAAATAATTACTACTAAGAAAATCGTATTTACTTATTACATAAATGAATAAATAAAAATTCTTAAATCTTTAAAAGTTACAAAACAGAATACTACAATTTAGGAGATCATCACTTTAAAGATTTGAAAAACATCATAATGTAATAAATATTTTCCAATCAAATAAAAATGAAAAAGAGCATAACCCCTAATTGCTGTTTCGCTGTAATTTTGATTATACATTACATTTGTTCATTAATTTTGGCTTTTAAAGAATTGGTCATGTTTAGCTTTGACATTTGATACTATTAAATCTTCAATCTCAATTCCTTCTTCAATATCTGTTTCATTCAATAAAATGTCTTCAATAATACCATTTTGAGCTATTAACTTAACATTATATTTCCTTGATTGTAGTAAGTTTCCAATAACGAGCTATAAAAATTATTCACGTACAAAAAAAAAGTTGTTAAGTGTTTAAATGTTTATAATTAACTTTAACATAGTAGGTAAATTGGATATAAAGTAAATGTAATAATTTTAACTCACTTGATGTTTGTACTTAACAAGAGCATCTTTGGCTTTCTGTTCTAAAATCCCACTATCAGTCTCTAATTTAAATGAAATTATGTATGCATTAGGAGCCCAAATATGAGTAACAGCATATAAAACTTTAGGTACTAGTCGTAAAGCAATCACTGGAGGTCCATCTTTAGATTGAACTTTATGTTTAGCCTACAAATGGTAAATAATTTTTGTTAAAATATAAAATACTAGAAGTACCAATGCCAAAGTAAATAAATATGTATCAATTAAACTGTCAAATATAGATGCTAATGAATACAGATTAAATAAAATTTAAGCATGTTATTAATGGAAATATGCTTTTTTAATATTACATGCAATAGCACAATAAACTACATACCATTTCACTAGGTGGTATATAAAAGTCTGAAACAGCAGCAGCTAAATATAGTAAAGAATACTTGGTATCCATAAGCATGCAAGAACCTCTCAGCAACCACATATATTCTATCAAAGTTGTGAAAGGAACTGTTAAGATTCTGTTAGCATTTTTAGCGTCTTTGTACTTCTTCAATATTGGGAAGAGTTTATCAAGTTCACTTTGTTTCACTGAAATAATTATAATTATTAAGGATTAAAAAAAAAAAAATCTATGCAAAGAATATTTACCTTGAATTGATTTATCATCTACAATCTCTAATTTATCTAACAGTGAATTGTTGAAATGGCGAACAAATGGCTCCAATGAATTTGAACTAGAAATTAAATAATAATGAAATAAAGAACAATAGACTAATTAGAAATATGTTACCATTAATTTTGTAATAAATTAAAATGTACAATAAAATCAATGATTCTATTTAAGTTAAAAACTGAGATAATTTATAAAATAATATATATAATTTAGTTTTAGAATAAAGTGATTGTTTAATGAGACTGTCTTTAATAAATTTATTTATGATTAATAATAAATTGTCAATAACACTTTCATTAAATTCAATTAAATTACATTATATATACATATTACTTTAGAAAAATGTACTGAACAAATTACAGATATTCAAAGAAACTTTTAAAAAACAAAAACAAAATACTAATAACAGTTATATTATATAATTTACATAATATTATAAGTTAAATAAAACCTTATTCTTACTTGTATGAATACATTAAAGATAAATATTTATTATAATTTGTATGGTAAAGGTTAAGCCATTAAAAAATAACAAAAATTTAAAAAAAAATATATTAAAATTAATTATAATTAAATTATATCTTAAAACAAATCTAAAATTTGATAATTTAAAAGTATTAAGATTCTAAATGAAAATACTTATGATATATATCTAATAAGTGATTACCAAAACTTCTGTGGAATTTTTGATTTACCATAGTTATTAAGCATTTTAACCATTCATACACATAAATTGTGTATTTCAGTTGTTGTGTACAAGGGGTCATTTAGATTGGATACATAGTGAAATAATTTTTTTTTACTATTTTTAGCTTCTCATGCCATTACAATTGTTACAGGTTACAGCAAATTTGTGAATCATATTATTTAATTAACTGGTTTTTTTTTACATATCAATCCTATTTTAATAAAATACCACATAAAATCACAGGTTTATTTTAGTACTTTAAAATACTACTGTGAACTTTATTCTGCTAAAATTTTATTATGTATACTATATTTATTATATAACCTTCAAATTTAGAGCTATGTTATCTACTAAATGCAAATATTTATTGAACAAAAAATTAACGAAAAAATCAAAAATATGCAATAGACTCAATAGAGGCATAAGTTAAGAAATAGATAACTAGCAATTTTAACATCTAAGTTTTTAATTTCGTATTTTAAATCTATTTTACTAATATTGAAAAGATTTAAAAATAAGTATTGAATTCAAAATTGTTATTTAAATAATTTATAAACCAAAAACTGATTATTTATAATGCATTAAATTCAAATTTTTCCATGTAAATAACTTTGATAATTTTTTTGAAAATCTTTTTTCTTAAATTTATGCATAAATTATATGAGAATTTTTAAAGATCAGTATAAGCAGAAACAGAAATTTTTAATTTTGTATACATGGAATTAAAACTTTAATTTTGTTAAAATTGTATCAGATCAGTATCATAAATAGGATAAAAGTTTTTCATTTTTCCAGAAACTTAATTAAAACCAAAAAAATGATTAAAATTTCAACATCTGATTTATACAAAAAAAACTAATAAATAATTAATAAGTTTACTTACCGATAAAGAAATATAACAACATATCCAGCATCAAGAAAGTATTCAGCAGAAGCAGAACCTCTAGTTCCAAGACTAAAATTATCAACAAAGCGAACAGTATTCTGTTCAATTGGGACTGTAGTTCCTCCAGACTATACAAAGGAATTGAACTATTATTATTATTTTTTTTTTACATTTGATATTACAATAAATTCTTTTATAATATACTGATTACTAATTGTTAATATCATAAATAAAATTACTTTTTCATTAATTTAAATTCAAAAACCTGAAACATAACAAGTATTATTTCAGAAAATCAAGGCTAACTAAGTATATTTTAGGAACGTAAAATATAAAACCCTTTAAATTTATTCTTTTTAAATAAATTTAAAAGAATATAAAAATGTATATAATAAATAATCATATAATTTAACTTTCCATTCTTTATACTAAGAAACTAAATAGGTTAGGTAGGTTAATAAGTGAGTTGACATATTTTATTATTTTTAATTTATAACTACTCTAATATACATTATGTACATTATTGTTACCTATGTAAAAAGCATTTTATTAATTCTATTGATCATAAATAGTTTCTTTTATTCAAAATAATTAATATATTATTGCATAATATTATAAAATATTATACTTAGAAAAAAGAAATTACTAGAAATTTAATAATTTTAATATCATTAGATTAAATTATAAGTGGTATGCAATATCAGTAAGTAATTAATATTGATTATTATTTGAAAATAGGACTAATAAAAGCAGTGGCACAACTTGATAATAAAGGCATATGTGAAAATGTCTGTATGGTGCCCTTACCTGTTAATCAAAATAAAAAGCAATAATATCTTATTTAAACTCTAAAAAATATTGTTTTCTCAAATGTCATAGTTTATAATATTGTAGAATATATTTATTTTTTTTGTAAAACTAAACAAAAATTAACTCATTTAGGTTTTACGACAACAAAGTCATTATTTATTTTGTTTCAGTTATACCTGTTCATTTTACTATATACTATTTACTAATATATGTTACACAGGTACTTATAATTCAAATTCTCTAAACTCAAAAGAGTAATAAACATCATTATTTATTATATCAAAACAAATAATGTAATATGTGTATAGGTATTACAAATTATAGTAGGAACATTGTATATGAGATTTAGGGACCCTATGAATCACATACCCAACACTTAATAATTGCATCACTTATAATAAGTTAAAATTTCTCCCCAAAATGTTTTACTCTAGATATGTACCACTTTATGTTACCTATACATCTTTAGATACTATCATAATTAAATAGAAACTATGGGTAAAACATTAATTTAATATTTTTTAATTAATGAATTAGATATTTACTTAACTAATAACGTGTGTAATTTTAAGTAACTTAATTATTTATCAATAATTTGATTATTTATGTGGTTTGACAAATATTTTATAAAACATGTTTATTAAAAAAACATTATAAGTTTTATTAACAGAACATCAATTAAAAAATTAATAGAATAGAGAACATAACATCAATATTATATTTGTTTAGTCATTTGCATAAATTATTATTTAGGTACCTATATTTTTGATTCATCAAAATAAATTTAAAAAATTCAACTCATATAAATTTTAAAGATATAAACAATATGTATTATTAATTAATATATTATATAAGTAGTAATACTTACAGTTATCAAAACCATTTTTTCGTTTTCATGGCTGCATACAAAATTTTCAACAGTAGTTATAATAGATTCATAGTTTGAAGGAGAAGGGTGCGTGTCATAAAATGATTCCCAATCCATTTTTTTTTTTTTTTAGTAATTAAAACCTATAAACACAAATTTCAAAATTTATTTAAATTATGAACAATATTTAGAAAGTATTTACACTTAACTAATTATGAAAATAAATAAACTATCCTTGAAAATTAAAAAATAAGACGTTTAATGAATCAATGTAATATTGTAAAACTGCTAAAACTTGTTTACTACCAATATCATAAGTTATATAATTTATCTTGAACTCATAAGTGAATCTAGTTTAAAATCCAATTATATAGAATTTGGATTAGTTAATAAAATATAATATTATGCCTTCCTTTCTAAACAAGAGCACCCATCATGAAAGAGGGGGCTATTAACTCCTCCTTTAACTTTAGAGATTCATCTTATAATAAAAATATCAACTGATGGAAGTATGAAATATATGTTTTTATAATATTATAAATAATATAAATAAAAATCTCTTAAGATAATATTTTGAGGAAATACCAAATTAAGACATTTTTAATAACATAACCTGTGCTATAAAAGATTAAACTCACAGTGACAATTACATATATTTTTTTAAATTATTTTAGCCACTTGAAAAGAAAACAAATATTAAATTCTATAGACTAATTTTATTCCATATTTCCATCAACATAATTTACAATCTAAAAAATAGAAATACTCAACTTTACAGGAATGCTTAATACATTTTAGAAATAAACAAGAAAAATAATCAACTCAACTTCGAAAAAATAATGAAAACTATAAATAATATAAGTTCTTCATTGAAATATTAACAGTTAATTATTTACTCTTGTTAAATAAATACCTTTTCTACTAGATTAATAAATATAAAATTATTAACATTATGTTGTCTTAGTTTTCTTGGAAACACCTATTAAGTTACTAGGTAACTACTGTTGTAATTGTTTGCAAGGGTTGTTTTCTAGTTCAATTGTTTCATATAAGTACCATAGTATATTTAGCACTTATATTACCATCATATTAATACTTATTAAAAAAACGTTCATATCATGGTGGAGTATTTGCTGAGATAGCCCCTTAGGTTAGGTTACTAATAGTACTATAGTAAAAAGTGCACTAAGCAGTTGGTTGTCCGCTGTAGGTAGTTAACATTTTACCTGTCGGAGGTCCAGTAGGCAGTGGGTATATAACGAAACTACATAGATATACTGTATTACTGTTATTTATATTAATGTTCATTGGCTAAACAACATTACGTAATATTTTCATAAACGGGTTGTAATGCGGGGAGATGGAGACAGGGAAAAACACTTTGTATACGTACCGGTCGACTTTTGTAGTCTGTACAACTTACTGTACCAGCTCGGCGTAAATGGAATAAATAACCAAATTACGCGACTACGACGACGACCACTTTATTCTCTCTTTAAACTACTTTACAGTTTACACGACGACTACATGTAGACAGCACTCGACAACAACAATAACAACAGGTGTGTCGTCCTGGCGGCGTCAAAGTTGAGTACCCGAGTACTTGAACGCGTGGATTTAAGAATAGTTTTTAGATTTAATCTAAAGGGAACACAAGGGGTAGGGGAGGGGGCTCGTAGAGCGACATGACCATGTCGATAATTCCCACCCACCGGCGCCGTGATGACGACCGTCCGTAATGGGATACATGCCGAGTCGGAGTGTGCGTGTAGCTAAAATATCATCTACCGCGACAACTACAACGCGGTATTAACATTAAGGTAAGTCGTTGTACACGTCACGGGACTACCGACGGTAAAACAAAAAAAAAAGTTGAACGAAAAGTGAAAACAACCTCCACCGTCGTTTATGACTTGATAAGAAAACGCCGCTACGTGTGATAACCGCCGCCGTAGGAGAGTTTCGGCGTTTCACAATTCTTTGGACTATTTACATCATCATTGTTATCGGACCGGTGGCCGGGCCAACGGGAACGGTTGATTAGCGCGCGCACTGAGCCCATTGGCCCGTGGCCGCGATACAGCGTCGGGAAATCCGACTATCCGAGCGGCCGGGTGATAACGGGACGGCGGCGAACTGCGAACGCCGAACACCACTCGTGCGCGGCTTACCGCTGTGTGTGCGTACACAGTACACACCACCGACCGCCACCTCCGCCATCACGCGCACTCGGTGATAAATGACGAAATAATCGACAGACAAGCCAACAGCAGACCAACCGTACCTCGCCGGACAGCCGACGGAGACACCGTGACAGTGCCGTCTCGTTTGTCGTCGCGGATGAAACTTCAAAAATTTGTCGAGTGAACGAATCGACGACCATCGCCGTTGCAGTAATAATTGACCACCGCACACACCGGCGATCGCGACGCTATCATCGCACAGCAGTCAGTGGTCGTACGCGTAGAGTAGTAGTAATAGTACACGGTGTTGTACCATAGTGAGCATTCGACAGTCGCTGTAATAGTGTCGACGGTGGCAGCTGTTGAGTGTTCATGTGTACGTGTTGAGCGTGTGTGACGTCGCGTAACCGTAACGACGACGACGACCCCGCAAACCGGCCCGCCGGACACGGCAAAGTCGGGCGCAAACTACTGTCGTTGGTGTTACGTAGCTACCTGTCGACGTCTAGCAGCGGCGGACGCGCAGTAGTTGCTCGACGACGGCGACGGACGACTCAGCCGTGACGATGACCCTGCAGGCCATCAAGTACGAAAACGGCACGTTGGAAGTGCTGGATCAACTGCTGTTGCCCAAAGAGTCCAAGTACATACCCATTTTGGGTGTCGAGGACGGATGGAAGGTCATCAACAAAATGCAGGTACGTGGTGTACAGCAGACGTTTCGGAACTTTAACCCCTCCACCCTTCCCCGCGTAATTGGATGGATTACGTATTTAATGCGCCGACCACCATGTGGGCAAACGCCATGTCAACAAACCCATCAGTTTCAACGATGATGCGTATTTAAAACTAATATAGGTAGATTGAGCTCCTAAAGTTTTCATTGATTTAACCACTACAATATAATCAAAAAACATATCTCATTTTAGCCACTTGTATTATTTTCTTCTAATACATTTGTACATTACTAATGTCGGTGTACTATATGTCTGTGAATTCTTTAGATTAACATACTGACCTAAGGCAGTACTATACATAGGTACTTGATAAACAATTTTGTTTTATCTTATGCTATTTATAATCTGTTAGCGGCACCATTCATTGCCTATATTGTACCTACTACCTACTGATTTGCTAGTCGCTGCATACTCAACAGGTTTTAATTCTCACTATTAATTACAAATTAGTGATTTTTAATGATATTTGTTGAAGTTAGGAACTTATAATTGGTATACTCAATAATGTATAATACATTGTTTTATGTTTATAAATTGAAGAATTTTCGGTATCATCAGGCTCCTTTTTTTAACCAGCCCTTTCCCTCTTCATAGACAAATTTAATTAATTTTTTATACATAACATTAAAAAGATAGATTTACAAATCTGTCAATATGTCTATTTAAATACTTTCAATTAAGTGATGTACAATTTAAAATGTACCCATGTATCTATCTTTTCTCATAACAAAATTGTGATAGTTTTTACCCATCTTTTTTCATGTGACGTGACCAGATTGTATTTCAATCTTATCTCTGAACATTGGACACAAAAATCATTATGTAAATAAATCTAAAGTTTGGTTTAAAAATATTTTCCTCTTATTGAGATTTAATTTGAGGGACATAAAGTATTTAATAAACAATTTTTAGAAATGATACTCTATTTATAGTAGATACCTACCATAATAATTTGTTTGAAAAAACAAATTTAATAATATTGAATAGAACTTAAGTTTTTCATATTTTAAATTGTCATGTTACAATCTGTTTATTACATACATTTTTATTATAATTAAACAATTATATGAAAATATATAACAGACTTATATAATTACTTTTGATTAAAATATTTTTTAATATTAAGTGAAATATTTTGAATTAATTAATATATGAAAAAAAATATATTTGAACAATCACAATTTAAGTTTTAATTTATTTTTTTATTAGATTAGATAAAAATATTAGGAAATATATAATTTTATGATTTTTTTAAATCCCCCCTAAATGTGTCAATGGTTATTCAAAAGATTTGTTTCAATAATAAAATTATTATTTATTTTTAACTACTATAATTTATTAGTTGCTTAATATATACTGGCTTAAATTAATACAACCGATTGTCTTTATTTAAAGATCATGGTGAGCCGTGCATATTATCTTTCATAACTAAAATTTTTCATTATTCATTATTTAGGATATCTAAATATCATAAATAATTCTTGCTAATATGTATTTAACCAAGAAGATAAGATAGGTAGCTAACATTTATTTATTTATATTAATTAGGCATTGGTCAAGATTAATAAAGAAAAATCCATTTAATGAACCAATAATTGATATTAAGTAATAGAGCTATTATTACTCTGCCTAAACATATCCTAGGTATATTTTTTATTAAACATATTGATCATATTATATTTAACAGATTGAAACTTACTATCAATTTTAAGATAATACATTATATGAATCTTTTTGAATAATGTTAAGAATATTAATTGATACAGTAAGTATATCATAAATAATTATTATATTTAAAAATAAAGTATGATTATCAAATATATACACATCTATTATTGTATATATTCATTATAATTGAAAGGTATCTAATAATTTATATACTTAACATTCTCCATCTTTCACATACCATTCAAACTCTGAATATAATAGTGCAATGTTTGATTAATTCATATAAGATTAAAACTTAATTTGTATTTTGTATAAGAAGCTTAAAAAATAAATTTAACTAAATATTATATATAAATATAAAGTGTAATTACATTCTTATCTTATGTTTTAACACGTTAAATACATTAGATGTTTTATAATTAATAATAAATGATAATGAATAGCACACAGCAGTTATAAAAATATACTTTAATTTGTACTTATCTTATTAATAAAAACTTTAATATTTAAACAAAGAAAACCAAATAACTATGAATTACTTATAGAGCCTTACATATATTTTAGATATCTTGTGTACGTGCTTAAAAAGTAAAACAGCATATTAATTTATATGATACATTAAACGTATTGCTTAGTGTTACTTTTTTCAATTGTAATATTATCAAAATATATTTGGTCATATGGCCAAGGTAATGTACATTAGAGATTAAGCATTAGAAGATTAACATTACATAATTATCTACCTAAATAAAATAACTTAAGATAAACAAAAAGGATTTAACATGGGTAAAAGATATAAATTATTAGGTACATAGATAGATAATAATAAATAATAATTAATAGTAAATTAAAATTAATTATAATTAATGTAATAGTGCTAACTATGAGATATCAACATTTATATTTTATAATAGATTTTTAAAATTTTCATCCATCTTATTGTAGATATCTGTAATCTGTTGCAACTTTATTGAGTTGTTTTAACACCTCATATAAAATTAAAATGAATAAATATTATGCTGTTATACAATTTTAATTACTACTTATGGTTTAGGCATCTATATAAGAAAAACTTATTTTTTTATAGATTTTCTCAACATAGATATTTTACCTGTATTATTAAAAGATGTAGACTATTAAAAAGACTATAAGATGACTAATTGTGCACAATGTACATAGTCAAAACTACTTTTTCAAGCATGCCCAAATATCATTACTAGTATACAGAAAGTGCACAACCAATCAAAAACCAGGTACGTTTAATCAGAAACAAATATGTCCGCCGCCTGGTCATCTTATTCTGACCTGGGTATAGTTGTATACAATTTATATTTGGATTTGAAACAATAAAATATATGCACCTGTATATGGATATTATAATTTAATATTTATAATCAAAAATAGACTTATGATACTTATTATTATTTATAAAAATCTTTGTGATTCACAAATAATGTTACTTCTTCAAATTGATTATTTCATATATGCATAATTTTTGTATTATTATTTGTAGGTACGTGGTGCTCCAGCTATTGCCATTGTTGGATGTTTAAGTTTGGCTGTAGAAATATCAAAAGAAGAGTTTGAAAAAAAAAAGGCTCTTCGAAGAGAAGTTGAAGGTAAACTAAATTATTTAATATCTGCTCGGCCAACTGCTGTAAATATGAAACAGGCTGCAGACCATTTGATATCTTATATAAACTCTTTGGATAATGATGAATCAATTTCAGCACAAGAAATGCAAGCTAGGTAAATTTCTGCTATGATAAATTATCTTATCAATCTTTGTTTAGTACATTTATTTATTTATTAGGTTTGTAGCAGCTATAGAAGCAATGTTAGAAAAAGATATATCAGATAATAGATCAATAGGAGAATTTGGAGCTAAAGCAATTTTAAACAATGTTACGGATGGTGAACAAGTTCGTATTTTAACGCACTGCAACACTGGTTCATTAGCTACAGCATATTTTGGTACTGCATTAGGTGTTGTACGTTGTCTACACTCTGCTTCAAGACTGGGTAAATTTTTTAAATAAATATGTTTTTATTTCATGTATTGTACCATTTAATTTTTATAAGTCACTGACTTATTAATTTAAATATTTGTTAACATATTAAACTAAGATATATTTTAACATAAGTTAATGTTTTTAGAAAATTGTTATTTCACGGAAACAAGGCCTTATAATCAAGGCGCTAGATTAACTGCCTATGAATTAGTACATGATAAGATACCATCAACTCTGGTCTGTGATAGTACTGTTGCTTATTTAATGAAGACTGCTCAGATAAATGCTGTTGTTGTTGGTGCTGATAGGGTGGCAGCCAATGGAGATACTGCTAACAAAATTGGGACTTATCAAGTTAGTATATCTAATTACTTATTTAAACTAAAAATTATTATTTTCTAATTATACATCTAATTATTGATATTAGTTGAAATATCCATTATAAAAAAGTTGTATTCAATTTTAAAACGCCCCATTGTATTTTAAAAATTAAATTTTTGATAATGTTTGTAATGAGTTGTTTATTTTTCAAATAGATTGCTGTAGTCGCCAAGCACCACGAAGTTCCATTTTATGTTGCTGCTCCTTTAACTTCAATTGATTTTAGTGTAAACACAGGTGATAATATAGTAATCGAGGAGAGGCCTCAAGTGGAAATGACTCATATAAATAATTTAAGAATAGCTTCTCCAGGTAAAAAAAAACATATATAAGTATATTTTAGTAATATTTAATACCAAAACTGATAAAATTCTTAGTATTTATAAATATAAATTTGGTTTATTTTTAATGAGAATCCTGTTGATGTGTTTTAAATTTAATTTTGTTTTCTTTAGAATAACATAGATAATAATATATTTCTAACAAGTGGATAATTTCCTTTAGAAATAAATTTATTTTTTAAGATATAAATATATATATTTTATGAATTTTTTCATTTTCTGATAAACTAAATAATTCTTAGTATTGACTATATATTTAGTTATATAATTTCTCAATATTAATTGCTTTTAAACATAATATTTCTGTATTAATTTCATTGTTTAATATTTATAATTTGAATAAAATAATCTGATCTGTAATTAATTATTAACAATGATAATTATAAATTAACCCAATACTTAGTAAGCATAATTCACTGATACACAATAAATTATATGTTAAACATACAAGAACATAAAAATATTTAATTATTTCAAAAAAAATATAAGATAATAAAGGAGAGATAGGAAGTTATATTATGCAATATTCTTAGTTGTTTTTTCTATATAATAAATTTCTTCTTTTAAGTAAACATATTAAATATTATCTGAATAATTATTCATAATTGTAAAATGGATGTTCTGTGTTAATTATTTACCATAAATTTTATATTTCCATGAGGATCACTGCAGTTGTTAGAAATATAATTTTGGTACTATATTGTGGACAGTATATACGTAGCTATCAATTTTTGATTTTTTTTATAGACAAAAAATAATTTAAATTGTTTTATTTCTATTTATTTAAATATATGTTCTTTGTATATCTAATGGTATGAAAACCACTGCAGTTTAGTTTACCTGAGCTAATTCATCAAATTGCCTGATTGTGTACATTTTTTTTTTGTTTATAAATTAACCATATAGTTTTATTTTTATGAATTATTAAACTTATTATACCGAATTATTAATTATTATTTAAAATACTATCTTCAATAATAAATTGTGGTGTATTAAAATGGAGTTTTTAAAGCATTTTTCACGTTCATATTTAAATAGACAATTATATAAAAACCTAACAAAATTTTTTCTAAAAACAATCTTGATCATTACTAAAATATTACTTAAATTTTGAATTAAATAGATTTTTTAAATATCTATTTTTAACTAATTAAATTAATTTATTGATTTTTTATAAGAACTATATTTAAATAATTGCAGGTGTAACTTGTTGGAATCCAGCATTTGATGTAACACCAGCTCGACTGATAACTGGAATAATCACTGAAAAGGGTGTTTTCCGACCGTCTGAACTCTCAACACTCCAGTCTCAATTGCAAGATCATAAAAACTCACTTCCCCAACTGTAATACATACCTAAATATTATATCATTGCACAAACGCATTGTACAACTTTTTTATGAAAAAAATAATATTAGGCTATTTTTTATTATATATATGTATGCAAAAGCTACATTCCTAAGCCAGCGACATCAATTTTTATTTATGTATAAATGTATAATCATAATATTATTGTCTGTTATAAATATTTTTAATATTATATGGAAATAATTCCATAAGCAAAAAATGCATAAGTACATTTAAAATAGACCAATTATTACTTATATATTTTAATTTAGTCAAGTATAGTTGTGATACAAGTTATAATAATATTATTTTTATAATTAAATTTAATTATATATAATATATATATATGTGTGTGTATATATATATATAAAGTACATATGTGTATGTGTACATGGGTTTAAATAATTTTTATTGGAATAAATAAGCATGGCTAATAAATCATTTAAAATTATTTTCATAATGAACCTAACAAAAAAAAATTTCAAAATTTTTATACTTCATTCATATTTTAACAATTCAAATATGAACTAAATTTTTAATTTTCTGAGCATTTTGTATTCTATTTTCTAACATAATTAATATGAAGATCAATGTTTTTTTTTCAATCATGATAATTATAGTATAATTTATTTGAAACATTTATAGTGGGTATACACTCCCATATCTAATTTTATGTATATGATTTATTGTAAAATTGCCTTTCAAATTCTTACTTTATGTACTTATGGCATTTTTATTAGCCCATCGTGATAATTAATAAGTTATATATACACAAAAATGTTAATGTGTATACGTATCATGTATATTTACATTTTTATATTTGGGGTGTCTAACAAATCTTCTTCGTAACTTTGTGTAGCGTAAAGTACCTATTTTAAAACACATTTAATGATTATTATTATTATTATTATTATCATTATTATCATTTATCATCAAATTATTTATATTTTTAATGATTTATTTTAGAGATCTTTTTACTAGACATATTACTCTATGCCTGTTACACATTTATAAACTATGTACAATGAAAACATGTGCATTGAGATTGTTAATGTGTTAATAATTGTCTCTAATCTGCTGATTAATATAATAATTATTTATTTACTTGAAAAAAAAAAAAAAAGAATAAATAAACACAAACAAATTATTACATCAATCTTCTTTGATATTTATATATTATGTTTAATGAATAAAACTTTATGTAATAACGTGGGTATGCATAGGTGGTATATGATTAGTGACCTTAACCTTGAACATTGGACAAACTTGGGTGGATAAACAAGATGCTAATGTACATTGAAGATTTACAACAAATAAATAAATGGCGTCAGTGAAAGAAAAGGAAGAATACGTCGAGTGTTCATTTTTACACCCAGGCACGTTTTTTTTTTCTAGTGATCTAAATATAGAACGTAAAGGGACTGGGAGATTTTACTGCGCGCATGCTATCCAATGCGCCATCGAATCGGCCAACTATCAAGACGTTTAGCACGGGAAAAAAACATTGTTCAATTTATAAATCAACTTGTATTATCGCACCAGCAGCGCAGCGTGCGCGAGTAAGGATAACGTATTGGTCCGGACTTCGTATTACTATATTTCGCTTCGTTGGCTGAATTGCATTTTTCATCATACGAATCGCTCATTTTCAACGGAATCAAAATGGGTAGCGTTGAAGAGATTTATGAAAATGAAATACACCGTACTATCACACGGCGTACGAGCTTCAAAATTCAAGAGGTAAATGATTGTATAAATAGCCATTAATCATTATTATATTGTTTTATATAACAATAATATTATAAATAAAATATTTATTTCTTTGTTTCAATGTTTGTGCGTGCCGTACAGAAATGTTAGGTATACTATTTGTCGAAATTTTAAATGGCAAATAAAAACATTCATATTATACTAATGACATTTTGTCTGATTTAAAATATTTTCTTCAATTCCATAACCCCAGTACTTATTCACTATGAGATAATGTATGTTACTATTCTTTTTAAAAACAAAAATATAATGTAGGTATGTCTACGTGTGATTCTTTTTTTTTTGTTTGGCGAGACTAAATAGATTAACTATGTAGCATTGATAAATTATGTGTCGCACAATGATAAACAAAAACCTACAGTAGGAAGTAAAAATTGAATGAAAAATATTTTCAGAATTCAAGGTTATTTAAAATACAGGTAAAAAAAAATGTATCGGTCACACGAAGTATATTATAATAGATATACCTAAGTCTTTTGCAATGCTCAAATTGAAAAAGAATAAAAGAAGTAATACTAAGTCTTAAAAAATTAGCGTTTCTAGAAATTATTGAACCCAACTTAATTTATCAAACTAATCAGTTTAAACAAAAATTACAATGCAAGATTTAGTACCTATACCAGTAACGACTTAGTAGCGATTAAAATCTATATAAAATTTAAATAATAGCAATTTATTCACACACATAGAAAATAAGTACCTAATTAAAAATACTCTCAAAATATGAAAAAAAAAAAAATTAAAGAAGCTTCTACCCTCTCTTTAATTATCTGTGCATTGATATACCTAGTGATATTTTAATTTTCATGGTTTGGTATATCTTGTATTATGTGGTATACTACTAGTGTGATCACATCATTTATCTGATTTCATGGAAATCATTTTCAGCGTTTAAATAGGTCGTATCTATTACTAGTCATAGGGTCTTGGTCCTTGAAATTAATGAAATTAAATTATACTTCTTTATCAATAAATACTTACTATTTAACCTACATAGTAACATAAATTGATAATGTTAAAATGGGCAGATTGGTCGTTACCTATATTAATGACATATTATAATATATTTAAGATGTGCGCCTACCTATATCTTATCAATTTTTTTACTAGATACGCCATTAGTAAATACCGCGTGATATTGATGTGTAAGACGTGAATAACACTAAATAATGCAATATACAGTATATACTAAAATACTAAATTGTTCACCTATATATCCTAAATACCTGTTTTCTATTATAGTAATGGACGGTACTATTTTCGAACAGTACAGTTTTCTTTAAGATTTACAATCATAACAATTAAACTTTTTTATATTTAATTAAATATTATTACACATACAACTGTATGAAAAAATTAATCTTCGTAAATAATAAAATAAAACAATTTTTGTTCGAAAAATTTTACTCTATTTATAGTCACCAATATGTTATATTAATTCACCTTTTAGATAGGTTTTTGGAAATAAAGTTAAACCAGAGCTGTTACCTATTTAATACAATATTAATTTAAAATAAAATACAAAAATTGTCAAGTTCAGTTGTCATAGTTATACATTTTAAAGAAAACTGTTTTGGCCGAATAGGATGACGCCCATAGGCCATAGTACCTATATATATAAAAATATATATTATCATACATTCATATTTGATATACTTACCCTATCTATAAATTATAATATAGTAGGTAATACGTATGATAAATTAGATTTTATAGAGTTATATTAAACTTGTGAGTATTAGATTCTTTTATGTGTTATTGAATCTTAAAATTAAATCATACCCTTTCTTTCATTGTTATCTACATTTCATGAAACTTTTGTATTCATTTCAGTCAATTATTACTTTTTATAGTCCATATTCCACATGAGACTAATCTCTATCAATTGACCAACGAATTCTTAAATTCCGTCTTAAGTCTTAAGACATGGGGGGGGTGAATGGGTAAAGTCAAAAGCTTATACTTTTTTTAATTTTTTTCTTTGTTATTCAATGAAGCTTATAATACTAATAAATCATATAATATTTATAACTCTACATTTTAATTGTACATAGTACTCTTATTCGTGGACTAAAGATTGTCTATATTTATATATCAATATATAATATATATGTAATGTGTAGGTATATTTGTATTAAAATAAAAATGTAAAATTAATATATATCTACCTAATTAAAATATATTTTTGATTATATAATTATTTATAACCATGGTATGTATATTATATTTATAATTTATTCATGTGTACTAAAATTTATTGCTTCATACGAGTTATCGTTAATCTTGTATAGGTAGGTACTTACTTTAGTAGGTATTTAGATAGTTGTACGTCGCACATTTCCACTTGAATAAATACTGCAGATTATTCTAATTCCCAACTAACAAATTTATGATAAGTTCACATAATAAGTACTTAGTCATCTATATTATATATATATATGACAAATGATTAAAAAACAAAAACATGATTTATTTGGATTATTCGTTTTAAATCAATATTTTTTTTATACAGTACATTTCTAAAGAAAAAAATTGTGCTTCAAGTTGATTTTAATAATAACTGTTAAAGCACTTTTAAATTAAGATTGATTGAAGGATGTTAGATAATAGATAAACAATATATTTATTCAACTTATATTATTTTCAAAGTTTTGAATGTTGGGACATAAAAGTACGTATCAGGGGGGTGGCGAATGATGTTCCTGCGGGATAACATCTGATATTTAATGATTTCAAGCTCCCTAATAAATAAGCTTGGGTAAGTGACCAATATTTTATTTGTTATTAGCAAATTAAATGAAATTTTTTCTAAAATTTATGATTATTTATACAATTTTTTTTATGTTAGTATACGTAATATTACGTAGGTATAATATACAACATTTTATATTTGAGTGTAAAAACCATAATAGAAAGATAAGTACCATATCATATATATGATGTTTAGTCTTTTGAAATCATTTATTCTACTATTTTAAATACAAAAAATTATAGATTTAGTATTTCAGTAATAAATTAATTTTTTAATTTAAGTAGATAATAAGCGTATTTGTCATTATACATTTTAAAATTAATTTATTTCATCATTAATATGGTTATCATATAATAATAGTTGATTAATTTTAGGTATTCATTTTGGTGGATGGCTCAAAAATGCTATATAAGTTCTAAGCCTTAATTAACTTATTTTATTATATTTAAACGATCTATATGCTTTATTTCTATTTTTTTGTACAAATATGTTTTATTATACATTATGACTAGTGTGTCGTGGGAAAGAAATTATACATCAGCCACCAGCAAAACCTTTATCTGTGAAAATCGAAAATATAAAACTATACTTAAAGACTCAGATTAATTATAAAAGATTAAAGAGATACCAATACAGCTATAACTACCATAACCATAGTGCCATCTGCTCATCTATTATATGTTTAAATTATGTAACTATTAGACTATTGTATATTAGTTGTTTTTTCCGTATGATAAATATTTTATGTGAAAACTGGAACCAAATTGATTTTATTTTTAAGAATCTTTGTTTAACATAATCCAGAGAAAACCACAATGAAACGTCGATTCCTAATAGATACTTTACTAAAATGTTTTTTTTCGTTTCATTAAATAACTATTCAAATTCTTAGGTATTCTTATAAAGTAATTAGGTATGAATACTTACCAGCTATATTATAAATAGGTATTTACTTAATTTTTATTTCAAAATAATAGTTATCAGTTAAGTAATTATCATAATAGAATTATTTGTTTTAAATATTAATAACTACTAAGCCTACATATAATAGATACGTAGTTAGTAATTTATTAATTTATATTTCGCCATTTTTGTTTTTTTTTTAAACGTGTTTCATGTAACTTTCACACATTAAACCAGTCTTGTTTATTTTACGTAATTTTATTCGCAAAATCTATTTTATTACTTATGTTGCTACCCGATGGAGATACACTTTTTAATAAATAAATGTATGTAAAATTTAGTATACATGATTTTATCATTATTATTATTATTAGATTATTTTTATTTACAATCCATATTAAGTAATACGATAATTAAATTTTATTAGAGAAAAAAGAGTGGCATACGATTCACACGTTAGTAGAAAATATCCATTAGTATTGCCCAACACATTATGTAGTTTTTCATGGATTAGTTTGTAGATAAATTTTAGAAAAACGTTCTAGTTTAGGTCATTATAGCTATTATATTATAAGATATTCATACTATATTTTAATTATAATCGATAAAATATATAAAATATAAATATTTTTTGATTTCATTATTTTTTGGAATTAGCCGTGCGATATAAAAATTGAATTATGCCAATTATGGTTTAGGGGATACTATAGCTCCTATAGTTCGGCTAATTTTGTTCTTTAGTTTTACCATATTATAATTTCAACTTAATGGCTTCTAACGTCTAATTAGTGAGTACATTTTGAAATAGCTACTTATCCAAAGATAATATATAGAGTACCTAATCGCGAGTTGATGACGAACGAGGTTTACGTGGTCCATTAATGACTGCGCTAAATTACCGTAATGTTAATATATATGTCATCGAGTTGATCGGAATTCAAGTTAAAAAAAAAAGATGGTTAGTACTCACAAGTCACGACAGACATTATCATTTCCTTCTCGTTTTCGCGACGATTAATAAATTGAATTGTACAGTTGCACTAGTGTTGTATATTTTATAAGCTGTAGAGCTTACCTACCTATACCTATATATGTTTATCACGATGTCGTACAGACTAATTGCGTTTGAATGTCTTCGCGACAGTGAGTAAAACGTTTGGCCGGCTCTTACGAAATATTATGATTCTTGGCACCTGACAAAAGCTCGCGTTGTGTGTATATGCACATAGCAATATTATATACGTAAATAGTAAGTGGGTACATATTATAACCTAACCTCGCGGGCGCGTTTATCCGATCCAAGGAATGCGTGACA